CGGCGGGGGCGGGGCCGGACGCGCGTCAGGAGAGTGGGTGGGGGCTTCAGTACTGGCTGGAAGTGCGAGGCCGGCGCACGGCCGCGCCCTCCTTAATTTGCTAGGTGGCCAGGCCGGACGTGAGGAGCGCTGGCCCTCAGGGTGAGATTTACCACGGCTCCGCTCTGCCCAGTCCTCAGGCCCCGCATCATGGAGTGGGGCTTTGATCGACACCCCCCAGCCACGCTCGCGGACGCGCTCGGAGGCGGGGCCTTGCTCCAGCCTCGCCCCCCGCCGGCCGGTTGCAGCCTTCAGCGAAGTCTAGCGCTGTGGGGTCTCTCCCGTGCCCGGCTCGCTTCCACGGGTCTCCCGGGTGGGGACCTCGCTGCTGTCTCCGATCCTGCAGCTCATCAATTGCGCACCCACCGTCAGACATCCAGCAGATTTCTAGCAGGCCTCCGTTTACCAGTGCGCATCCAGCCCTGCGCAGGGAATGGGTATTAGGGGCTCACAGGATCCCAGAGGACTCCTCCTATCTCTTACTGTTCAGGTCCTGGCTTGACTCGTTTCTGACTTTGGAGCCATGGACAAGAAACTTAATCTCACCGAGCCCTCAGTTTTTCGTATGTGAAACAGGGGAAATACTTCATTGGTGGATTTCCAGGCGTCCTGTGTATACAGGACGTATTGATTTTGTCCTGCGTCATGTATTGATCTTGTCAAGATGCCTTAATGTCTCGTATTCATCTTTTTACAATAAATTACGATAATTATTTAGAGCTATTTTTCCACCACAGTAATTGACGCTTAAATCACTTCAGTGACAAAAATGGCTGAAAATCCTACCACCACAAATAAAGATCTGGGCAATCTCTGTGGTGTCTCCTGAAGGCTTAGCTGAGGGAAGACCACAAAAAGGGAGTAGGGATTTAAAGTGCTTATTTTTCATATTAAAGAAAGGAGAAGACTTTTTTGGCTCAAGTCCCAAATTGTGAACAAGTAACCACCGTTAGAGGTAACTTCACGTCATGCACATACTCTGAAAAGCAACCAGCAACAGCTTCACTTCAGGAGCTTATGCTTCTAAGAATCAGTCAGTCAACAACAGCTTCACTCCGGAAACCGTGCTTCTGAAAGCTAGTAAATCAGTGACAACCGCACGCATCCGAAAGTCAACCAATCATTAACAGGTCTATGCCTCTAAACAATAGTCAATCAGCAAGTGCCTCACACAGACCACCACACTCCTGAAAGTCAGCTGGTCCTCAGCTGCCCTACTCCAGTGACCACACTAACACAGCTAAGAGTTTGTCCATCGCTAAACACTCCGGCATCTGAAAGACCACCAATCCTTGAAGGCCAGGTTTCCAAAACTTTATGTAAGATCAGCATTGGCTTTTTTCAGAGAGACTGTTTTACAAGTACAGTTCTCCCGTGCAAACAGATAAGAAATTTAGCTTTTTTTTTGGCATTAGATTTTGAATTCAGTTTATTGTTTATTGTTTTTCCCAAGTTCAAAGTTCACAACTCTTTCAAGATTCTACTCTCATTTACCTTAGGTATAAGTTTGGGCTTGTGACAGATGCAATGTCACAGCCATGAGACTTATCAGACAAAATCTTTTTAATTCTTGCTATGGTTTCTATTATCAATTTTTAAAAACAGTTCAATGGGTATATGCACAGAACTGTGTAACCACCAGCACAATCAATTTTAGATCATTTTTATCACCCAAACAGGAAACTTTGTACCTATTAGCAGTCATTTCCCCTTTCTCCCCAGCTACCTTAGCCCTAGGCAACCACTAATCTTTCTCTTTATAAATTTTCATTTTCTAAACATTTTGTGTATATATATATATATGCCTATCCAGTATCTCCACTTGGATATCTATTAGGCAACTCAAAATGAACAAGGCCAAAATTGTGAACTCTACAAGGGGCCTTCTAAACATTTTGTGTATATATATATACACCATATATATATATATATACTTGGATATCTATTAGGCAACTCAAAATGAACAAGGCCAAAATTGTGAACTCTACAAGGGGCCTTCTAAACATTTTGTGTATATATATATATATGCCTATCCAGTATCTCCACTTGGATATCTATTAGGCAACTCAAAATGAACAAGGCCAAAATTGTGAACTCTACAAGGGGCCTTCTAAACATTTTGTGTATATATATATATATGCCTATCCAGTATCTCCACTTGGATATCTATTAGGCAACTCAAAATGAACAAGGCCAAAATTGTGAACTCTACAAGGGGCCTTCTAAACATTTTGTGTATATATATATATATGCCTATCCAGTATCTCCACTTGGATATCTATTAGGCAACTCAAAATGAACAAGGCCAAAATTGTGAACTCTACAAGGGGCCTTCTAAACATTTTGTGTATATATATATACACCATATATATATATATATGTATATATATACACTTTTTTTTTCTAAAAGATGACCGGTAAAGGGGATCTTAACCCTTGACTTGGTGTTGTCAGCACTATACTCACCCAGTGAGCTAACTGGCCATCCCTATATGGGATCTGAACTCATGGCCTTGGTGTCATCAGCACCACACTCTCCCAAGTGAGCCACGGGCCAGCCACAACATTTTGTATAATAGGAATCATACAAAATGTGGTCTTTTGTGACTGGCTTCTTCCATTTAGCATAATGTTTATAAGGTTCATCCATGTTGTAGCATGTATCAGAATGTTTTTCCTTTTTATGATTGAATGGATATATCACATCTTTTCCATTTATTAGTTAATGGACATGTAGATATTTTCCACTTTGTTGTTTTTTAGCCAGTGCTGTTATGAACAGTTGTGTACAAGTTTTTGTGTGGACATGTTTTCTTTTTTAGTAGTATTTTTATTAGCATAGTCATTATTACAAACTCTAATTATTCTTTATGCCCCTTACCTGACCAATCACTCCCCAACCTCCCTCCCTCCCCCCCTCCCCCCATCTCTAGTATCCTTAGGTTTGTTCTCTCTTCTGAAAGTTCAACATATTATTGTGCTTTTCTTCCTTCCTTCCTTCCTTTCTTTGTCTCTCCTTATTTCTAAGCACTCAGTTATTTGAGGACAGGCAGTATTTGTCTTTCTGTGTCTGGCTTATTTCACTTAACATAATTTTCTCCAGGCTCATCCATGTTGCTGCAAATGGCAGAATTTCATTCTTTTTTATGGCTGAGTAGTATTCCACTGTGTATGTATACCACATTTTCCTTATCCAGTTGTCTGTCAATGGACATTTAGGAAGTTCTGCGCATTCTCAAAAACTGGATTGTTTGTATTTTATTACTGAGTTAAATGAGTCCTTTATTTTAGAGTATTTTGGATATGTGTCCTTTCCTGGATATATGCACTGGGAATGTTTTCTCCCCATTTATGGGTTGCATTTACATTTTTTTGAGGGTGTCTTTTGTGGAGCGGAATATTTTAATTTTCATGAAGTCTAATTTATTAACTTTTTTCATTTCTTTAAGAGGTGATTGTGGCTGGCTATGGTGTTCAGGGGTATGGGAACAGGGAGAGGTAGGAAGGCCTGTACCAGCCAAGAGACTTTACCTGAGGTAATAATTCCTCTCCCCTCAACGCCTCAAATCAGGATCTTGAAGATGCAAAATAATAAAGGCTTAACCAGATTCAATTGTGATATTTGTTTGCAAGGCTATTTCATAACTGTCTGTGATGGTCTGGAAGGCTTCTTGGAAGAAGCAACATTTGTGCAGGGTGTCCAGGAGATAAGTGATAATAGAAGCTGTTATTTAAAAACACACTGTGTTCTAAGCACCTTTCGTGTACTCCTTTGTGGTAGCCACCTCCAAGATGGCCCCAGAGCTCCTCAACTCCTATATCCCTTCCTTTGTATAGCCTCCTCCCACACTGAATCATGTCTAGCCTGTGACCAATAGAGTATGGCAGAAGTCACAATGTGTGACTTCCAAGGCTTGGTAATAAAAGACATATGCAGCTTCCATTCGTTTCCCCTTGCATCACTTGCTCTAGAGCAAGGCAGCTGCCATTTTATGAGGATACTCAATCAGCTCTATTGAGAAGCCCACATGGTAAGAAACCCAGACCTCTTGCCAAAAACCAGTACCAACTTGTCAGTCATGTGACTGAGCCAGTCTGGCAGCAGATCTCCCAGCTCCAGTCAAACCTGTGGATGATTACAGCCCCAGCTGACATCTTGATTGCAGCACTGAGAGATCCTGAGCTGGAACCAATCAGCTAAGCTGCTCCTGAATTCCTGACCCACGAAAGCTGTTCAAGATAATAAATGTTTTATGTTGTTACAGGTCACTAAGTTTGAGAGTAATTTGTCATGTAGCAACTGATAACTAATACATCCTAACAATAGTTCTATAAGGTAAGAATGAGGTGTATCTCCATTATACAAATAAGGAAACAAATGCTCAGAAAGGTTAAGTGACTTACCCAAATAAGTAAGTAGAGCAGATTTTTTCCTCTGACAAATAATTTAAATTTTATCACGATTTCCATGGAGAAACAATAAAGGGAAACATCACAAATCAGATAACAAATCTCTTCAGTCCTCCCTGAACCTCTTCCCCAAACCTCCAACATTCCATTATCTTCTCTCAAAAACTCTCAGGCCTGCCAAACTTTCCACCCGCCCTCCCACACCCTGTCCCTTGCATTTCCCACTAAGCAAAGCAAAAGCTGACTATGTTAGAACTGAGTTTTGATTCTAGCTCTTTCCCCAGGGTGCATGTTCCTAACCACTCTGCCTTCTTGAAGGGTTTTTCTAGGAAAAGAATAAGGGAAGGGCATTAGAAGCACAGAATATAACAAA